GATGCGCTTCCTTGTCTACTAGCTTGACTTTCAAGGACCTCAACTCAGCAAGCTAATTGCAGAGATACATGTCTAACGAAGATGTTGATGTCTGGGTTTATAGAGTAACACTATGTTTGTAGGAAAAAAAAAGTTGAGTTTTGAGACATTCAGAATTTTTATTTCTGGTAGAAATAGGTATTCAAATTAATAATAATATTTCTACCAGAAATAAATAAATTTTCTCACATAAATCCAAATGAAGTTTTTGTTCTATTGAATATGTATTTGTTCCATTATGAATAGTTAAAGTTTTTGTTCAATAGCAAAAATAACTGCTTTAGTTAGGAAGTCAGCTTTTCTGTATGAAATTAATAACAAACGTATTAGAAAACTTTGAAATACAGTATAGTTGTCACAAGCATCAGTTTCCAAATCTTGATGTTTTTATTTTTTTATATTTTTGCTTTTCATTGTCTTTAAGTCATAATTGAAACTGATGTCTATTAAGTAGCACTCTCTGACTATATGTTAAAGGTTGGTAGTGTTTTGAATTCCATGCTGAGATTTTCAAAGTTCAGGTTACTGATGCTAGCAGGGCTACAGCTGAATCCAAACTGATAGGTTCTGCCTGGAGAAGGAGGTTTCAGATTGTTGCTTTGTTACTGGTTTACAGTTGACTAGTGTAGCTCGACCTGTAGCTTAATGGCCATGGCCTGTCCTGAGGAATAGTCTAGCATGTTTATTGAGGTTGCTTTCTGTCACTTGTTAAACTTTTCCACAGGACTTCTGCAACCTTTTATAGGTTTTGTAGGTTGAAGACAGTAATTGGCTTCTGGAGCTCGGTTTTTATATCTACAGATGCCACCTCAACAGAATTAGGTTGACCTTCTCCTCAAGACTGCCAAATGTGCTGTGGACCATCCTTGTGTTCTAGCTAAGAAGGGAACTATCCAGTTCTTCCTCTTGTCATGACTTGTGCCAACTCTTCCCTCAAGTGGCTGTGGTTGGAATCAGCAGTGGCAGTGTGGTGCAGTGAGGGACTTATTCTTGCTTCTGTGGGCAAACGTCATGTAGGTCTGTAAGAATAATGGGTGAAGAAAAGCACTCCACGTTTGCAAACGTCCCATCCCAAATTTGAAAAAGCACAACTCTGATTTTTCTGGTCTAGAGCAGTAGACTATCTATTTACAATAAATAAAGCAGATGAAGAAATACATAAATTCCTTAGTTACCATTAAATCTAAAAAGTATGGCTTATATAAGACCTCAGGTTATTAAAGACCCTTCCAAATGTGCCATCCTGTCCTGAATTAATCTGTCTGTGGAAGCTTTGCTTCTGGGTCACATCTGTAGATGAATCAAGAGAATTGTCCTAAATGTTGCTCAGTTTTTATTGCAGCTGCTTTAAAAGAAAAGCAAAACAAACAAAAAAATAATCAAACCTCAACCACATCAGCAGGAAAGCACAGATTTGTCCTCTTCATTTTCTGAATTAACTCTTAATACAGATCAAGAAAAGTCATCTATTTTAAATAATGCCTATTACTGTTTGGCTTTTCAATTAAAATTTTATACACTTTCAATGATAAACATGGCAAAATTATGCATTGACACTCGTTATGTTAGCTTTCCCCCTGGTTTTCAACCTTGGGCAGTCTGTTTCTTAAAGCAGGGAGAGCTCTGTCCCTGAGGCACTGAAGTGGAAGCTGTCTGTGAAGACTTGCTACCGAAAGGCTCACCTGGGCTTTATAATGGTCTGGTTTATACGGGAAGCGGTGACTGATAACTCTTCTGAGGTCAGTCCAGTCTGCACTGTGTGGGAAAGGAACAATATTGCTTGAGCCTCTTGGGCCCTCCACTCCGCTGAAGATAGGATGGGTGTGTAGGGTTTGTACATGCATTCATTTGAAATGCTGAAAATTGCCCGTATTCCCCACATACCGTCCCTTCATTCCCTTACCCTCTCCACAACAGTTGCCCTCATCATAGGCCGAGATCTTACCTGTATTTTGTGAGAAGTAACTCTCCAGTGATAGTGCTCCAGCAAACGGCATCGCATTTGGAAACTGCCCTGATGTGTGGGAATAATTAGAATAGCTAATGCCTGATCCTTGTGTATCAGTGGTGACTCCCCTGTTTGTTAACCCGATGAGGCTCTGGCATCGCATCATCCTGAGCTAAGATACTTAGTAGCTGTGGTGGTGCTTTGTCTATATCATTTCTTCACTTTATCAAACCATCTGTGGGTTCCAAAGAACATCCTTGATCTTGTTTTCTTTCCTTTCTCATCAAAGAACGACTGATTTCCTTCATGAGAGGAAGGGGAGGTGAGTGGTGGATCAGGAGCAGAGCAGAAGCAGGGCTGTGGTGGCTTTACTCAGGTGGGCAGCTGAGCTCCACCACAGCCGCTCTCTCACTCCCCTTCCTCAAAGGGAAAGGGGAGAAAACACATTAAAAGGGATCAAAGGTTGAGATAAGGGCAGGGAGAGCACTCAGCAATTACTGTCACAGGCAAAACAGACTCAGCATAGGGAGATTAGTAAAATTTATTGCCTATTACTAACAAGCTAGAGAAGTGAGAAACAAAGGAAAGAAACTAATCACACCTTCCCCCCATCCACCCTCTTCCACCTCCTCCCCCTGAGCAGTGCAGGGAAGCAGGGAATGGGGGCTGCGGTCAGTCCCTGATGCTTCGTCTCCACTGCTCCCTCAGGGTCCCTCTCTGCCCCCACTCCGTGTGGGGTCCCTCCTGTGGCGGGTCCCTTTGGAGCCGGCTGAAATTGGCCCTTATCTGACATGGGGCAGCTGCTGGGCCCTGCTCACAGAGGCCACCCCTACAGCCCCCCACTACCAAACCCTTGCCACATGAACCCACTACAAGAGGTTAGAGGAGCACATACTGAGGAACTTTAGGATGGTTTAAATTTCACCTCAGTCTCTGTAGTGCCTGTGGACTATTGGCAGCTCCCTCCCTGCTGCGGGCTGCTGAGTCACTGCTCAAAGGCACTTGACTTTCCACCATCAGCTAGACAGAGACTTCAGGGGAACTTGGCCCTCTGAATATGGGCCTAGCTAGTGCTTTTTTCGGTTTGCTGTTGAGAAGAAGTTTGCTACAACCACTCAGCTCTCAACTCTGTAGGAGTGTGGTTTCACAATATTTCTGTGCGTCATATTTGACCAGTCGTAATAACATCCGTCCTCTTCCAGCAGTATGTTAAGAGGAGAGCTGCTACCAGTTGTGGGGGGTTTCTTCGCCATTCTTTTTTGCTAACATCAGATTACAAATGCAGTCTGGTTTGTCGTGATGTGCTGTGGGCAGGCCAGGAAAGAATCACTGACTGGTTTGTTGAAGGGTAGTGCTGAGTGGAGAGGAGGGGAATATCAGAGGTTCACGAGTTAGTGCAAGTGGTGAACTTTCTCTCCTGTGCCTGTATGCTTGGTTTTGTTTTGTTTCTGTGGAGATCCTTCCCCTGTCCAAGGGAGGTGACGAAGTGCAGTGCGTGTGGCAGCCCTGGCACTGTGCGCTGCTGTCTGTGCAGAGCCTGGGCCCCTTGCGCTTCCCTGTGAGAAGAGCACTTTGCTTCTGGCCTGGTCGTTATCAGCCCTGCTGATATGCCTACTGAAAGCCAGGAACCATTCACTTGTAGGCACTGGATTCCTAGCATGTTAGGAACGAAGTGATAACTGGGAGTTACCAAAGCTGAAATGCATTTTCCTTCTACTCTGGAATCCGGGCACAGGGATAGATACAGCATTTTTGGCATCAGTGCAAGCAGGAGCAGTTGCTGGCCGCCTTCTACCCTCACTCACACTAGCACGCTGGGGTATCTCAGCAGACCTAACTGGAAGGTGATCAGGGTTAAAAACGACTCACCAAAATAAATAGTAGGCTTAATTTGTGTCAGTTCCTCCTATGGATCACCCCTTGGATCCACAAAAAAGTTTTGGGAGAGCCAACAAGGTATCTTGGCACAGGAAGACCAGTGGTAGGAGACTGGACTAGACCCAGAGCCCAAATCCATAGGTGTCGGGAAGGGTTTAAAAAAGAGGGGGACAACTGCACAGGAGAACTATTAATTGCAGAAGGGAGCAGAGGGAAAGAAAAATAATGGATTTTTTTTTCCAGTGCTTCATGTTATGATGGGACTGTACAGGAAAGCTTGGTAATTGAAAAAGGAATTTGCACTGGAAGGGCTCCCAGTACTGCAGCGATTGGTAAAATGCTCAAATCGTTTTTGTTAGGAACAAGGGAGTAATCTCACTTTTGCTTCCAGTTTCACAGACATTGACTATATGGCATATCAAACTTTGGGGTCAGTGTTTTACACTTGTATTTTCTCTAACTGGAGCCCAGTTTTTAGGGTGTCTACAGGTTTCGCCTAGCTGAATAAAATCCAAGAAACCCTGTCTGCGTGTTAGGATGTCTGTGCTCATGTGTCTGGTTTAACTGAAGTTGTGTGGCCAGAATTGTAATGTCAGACTTGAAAGTGACATTTTAAGAACAGCAAAATTAGTTCTTAGTAAATTACTGGAATTAGTGTAGATTGCAGGCTTGCTGGTACAAATTAGGGATGCAGGCTTCAGACAGCACAGGAAATGCAATAAAATTAATGTTCAGAAACCTGTCAGATGGAGAAGCAATACAGAGCATGTGCATAAAATGGAGAGGGAAGTGGTGTTCAGCTGTGCTCACATGCTTTTGGACTTTAGGTTCTTCTTCTCTGAGTAATAGTGCCCAAGTGGTGTGTTGTGGTGACGTACTCGGTGACGGGGTGACTGCAGGGCGAGGAGGAGCTCACAGCAAAGCTCTTCCCAGTGACTCCATCCTCTGCGAGTCCCAGCTGCACTGGCTGGTTTTTGTCATCTCTCCCATAACGTGGGTCAGGCACATCCTGCTCCCGCAGAGGCCCTCTCCGTTTTCTGTCAGCCTCACCAGATTCCCAGGTGTCCTCTTCCCCGTGCAGGGCGCGTGGAGCTGAAGCTGTGGCTCACGTGTTGTTTCTCCTTCTCGTTCGCAGGGGACAGTCTTCAGTTTGGAATCGGAGGAGGAGGAGTACCCCGGCCTGATCGCAGAGGACAGCAATGACATCTACATCCTGACCAGCGACAACTCGGGACAGGTGAGCCCCCCGGAGTCCCCCACGGTGACCACGTCGTGGCAGTCGGAGAGCCTGCCCGTCTCCCTGTCAGCGAGCCAGAGCTGGCACACGGAGAGCCTGCCCGTCTCCCTGGGACCCGAGTCCTGGCAGCAGGTGGCCATGGATCCTGAAGAAGTCAAGAGCCTGGACAGCAACGGAGGGGGCGAAGAGAGGAGCGAGAACAACTCCTCCAACTCAGACATCGTCCACGTGGAGAAGGAAGAGATTCCGGAGGGCATCGAGGAAGCGGTGGTGTCGGCAGCTGCTGCGGAGACTATGCAGGCAGCGTTTCCAGCCCCCCCTGCTCCTGTACAGCAAGTAAAAGCACCTCAAGCTGAAGCCGTGGCTGCCGAAAAAGCACATCCCTCCGCGCTTCCGCGTGCAAAACAGGAGGAAAAGGGAAAAGCGGCTGAAGAGCTTGTTGAACCCGAAATCCCCGCGCTAAGTAAACCTGTCCCAAAGTTAGCCCCGTCAGAAGAAAAGGCTGCGCCAGAACCTGAGAAAATACTGCTGCCAGGGGAAACAAAAGCGGGGAAGGAGGGCCGTTTGGAAGAAATAGAAGAGAAATCCTCCGTGGCAGAGGAGAAGCCGATCTTATTGCCGGAAGGGAAATCTATACTGCTGTACGGGGGGGCTGCCTGCCGTGGCCATACTGGCTGTGGCGGTCGGGGTAGCGCTGGCGCTTCGAAAAAAGTAACAGAGCTCTCCGGAGGAGGAGGAGGAGGGAGAGAGAAGAGAGCCCGATCCAATTTTTGTAGTTGTGTTACCTAAAGGTTGAGCTGCCTGCTGTTTAATTGGACATTTGAGCAACGTAATGGTGACGGGGTGAGGTCATTCACTAAGCCTCCAGCTATGGACAATCACGTTTTTAGTAGAATTGGGGCGGGGACTGGTTTTTCGTGATTAAAGTACAGGGGTATTTTTAAAATAATAATAATAATAATAATAAATTCTGCAAATTTAAGGACTGAAGTGCAGGTGCTGAAGAAAGGGGTGCTCGTGCTCTAGGAACTGGAACGGAGAGCCCCCAGGGGAAGGGGAGAGCCAGCTGCTGCCAACCCCTGGAGTTTTTGGCTTCTCAGAGTGGCCGCTGTCGCAGCTGTGCTGGCTTGTCACTTCCCTTTGCGCCCCACGTTAGCCACCCCCAGTCCTGCAGCGAGAGGCTGGTCTCCCTTTTGTCTCGGCTTCCTCTCAGGTACTGCACTGCTCCTCGTAACCTCGCAGGTGCCCCCTAAACCCCCGTGGGAGAGTGCTTCTTCTTACCTCTCTGCTCACACCTGGATTGGCCCCTAGCAGCTCCCGAAGCCCCCGTCCCCTACAGATGCTGCCTCTCTGCGGCTGTGTTCCCTCCGAGCACCCCGGGGGAGGTTGGGGAATCCCTTGGCTCCGCTCCTGCCCGCCCCCCTCACTGCCACCCCCCAGGTACCAGGCGCAAGGTTATGCTGGACACGGGGCCGTTCGGTGCTGTGACACCAGCAAAGGTATGGCAAAACTCTGTGTGAAAGGGGGGCTGGTGATATTCCCCCTGGGATATTCAGAGGTTAAACCCTGTTGTGCCCTGTGTCCTGCTGCGGTCTGCATCGGTCACAGGTGAAGCTGTGACAGAACCCAGGTGCACGGAGCAGTGGCTCTGGTACCCGAGCAGAACAGCATCTCCTGTTTGCCCACAGTGCCGCTCAGTGCAATTTCTTTTGCGATTCTGAGCCTGCCATTGGCTAAATTTGCAGGTGAGGAAGTTGCTTTGGAAAAATATAACCCCTCGTCCTGCAGTCACACCGTTTCCAACGCATGTAGAGAAACCCCGAAGGTGTCACCGTGCACCAGTCACATCAGATCCAGCCACACGTGGCTCCTCCAGCGCACGTCTGTGTCTGGCCTTGGCTGGGCCGGAGCTGAGGTCTCCAGGCAGAATTCCTGGTGCATTGCTGAGGGTTTGTGCTGGCGCCGTGGCTTAGAGCAGATGGAGGGAGGTGAGAGGGGACTGGGGATAATGCAGAAATGGAAATGTGAGCTTCCTGTATGAGCTTACTCCTCATAAAGCACAAACACAAGGTACTTTATTTCTAAACGACGATAGCTAGAGTATTTCTCGTAACGAGCCTGTTTCTTAAGTAACCTGATAATCCAGAGATTTTAGCATATTCTCTATTTTAGCATATCCTTGCCACATTTTCCTACCCCACCCCATATCCCAGTATGCTGGTAAGTCAGTAAGAACCTGGCAGAGCCTAGGGAATTTTTTTTTTGTTTAAGCTTTTTTGAGAGTGGATTTTGTAGGAAACTTGGGCTTTGAACTGTGTGAGGCTGAATGCGGAGAGGAAGGGCTGTTAGGTTTGTACTGCTGCCCGCTCGGGTGCGCTGGACTCCACTGTTGACCACAGATGGCTCTTTTGCTTGTGTGTAAGAGGTGGCAGGTTATCCTTAAAACAAAAGAAAGCAACATAAAAACTAAACATACACGAGGTTGTCAAATAGAAGTGACTTTTTTTTTTTTTTTTTTTTCATCTTTCCATGTGTTCTCTCTCATTGCTGTGCTGTGCCGGCCTTCATCCATCGTCCTCCCTCCTGGTACCTCATGGGGGCTTTCCTCGCTCTGTGGAGAGGCGTCTGTATGCTCCTTTTGTCACAAACGTGCAAGTTTACAGTTTTGCTTCGTTTCACGTGTCACAACAGTGTGTATTGACGAGTGGTGTGCGCTGCGAGGGGAGGAGGCTGGTGCCAGGTGGCAAGGGCTGCTTTGCTGCCCGGCGAGGCAGGAGAGGCCTCCCCTCTGCCGCTTTGCTGGTGGCTTTGTGTCCTTCTCGTGTTAGCCCCATCTCCTTGCTGGAGGTGAGGCAGCTGTTTGGGAAATGCCCCGTCTGCAGCTGCTCCGTGGGTTACGCAGAAGTACCTAAATCCGCTCGGTAGCAGGGATGGGGTTTTTTTGGATATGATGGATAATGTGTGCAAGTTGGGGAGGGGCAAGTTGTTCCTTTGGCTCTTCTCTCTAAGTGGTTGTTTTACTGGTAGCGTAGGCGATGAGCACAGGACAGATGACAATAAATCTACCAGGGAAAAGTCCCTGGCTTGCTGATGTAAGAGCCCAATGGGGCATTAAGTCAGCATCTTTTTCTGTATGCAGCAGTTTGGAGAAGGCAGCAGCAGTAAGGAAAACAAATGTGGTGGTGGTGGTTGGTAGGCGTTTTCATGGTGGGGTGAAGGCCTCGAGCACCTGGTGCTTTGCAGCATTTACTGGAGCAGCAGCTGCACCGCTTTGTGCTTGGTTGCGGGGCCCCTTCTTGTTCTTCCCATCTTTAGGGTCTTGTAGATTGGACAACTCAAGAAGCATTTGTAACTTTTTCTCCCCATCCCTCTGTGAGTTTAGAACTAAAAATCTGTCGTGTCTTTCTCTTTTCTCTAGGAACACTCCACTTGCTAGCAGGGTTGGGTCTGGAGGTTGGAGTCCTGTGGTCAGAGCTGGACGGGCCCTCTGGCAGTCACCGGCGGGGCTGTGCAGGCTCAGGCAGCAGCGCTCTGACTGACCCCAGTGCCAGGCTGCGTGCTGCTGGGGGCATGAATTAGAACATGGACAGGCTTTGTCCTGTCTTCAGGTATGGTAAAGTCACCCCAGATGGGGTGCTTCACGATGCTCCCTCTCTTGCAGCTGGCAAAGGCAAGGCAGGAGCTGTATTCTGAGGAAAAGGCAGATGACAGAGTTATTCTCATGTGTGTTACTTATCCCCTTCCCAGAAGTGCCTCGATACGTCCTTGAGTGGCCTGTACCTTAACGAAGTATCTACCTTAGACCCCTTCTTTCTTCTTCACCTTATCCCTGGCTGCAGCACATCGAGCTGAGGTCAAGCAAAGGGCTGGAGCTGCAAAGTGTGCAGGGCTGCCTCCAAACGGCCCTGGACACAGCCGGGACCTGGCTGGGCAGCAAGTGCAGTGTGTAACTGAAGTGAAGGTGAAAAGCTTGGTCTGGTCTCATTGTGATGATTGTAGTAGACAAAAATAATTTGAGGCCGTAATGCCTGCCCTACCTTCAGCCACAGCGGTGTGGCAGCACTAGCAAAGCCCCAGGCAGGCAGCTGTTGCTGGGCTGGCTCAAGTGGAAGCGCTTCTGGCAGCACAGGCTTTCATTCCCTGAACCAGCAGCAGCTCCTGCTACACGGCAGCTGCGGGGGGTACGTGGAGCCCAGGCTGCAGCAGGACGCAGCGTGCCAGGCAGGACACACTCAGCTGTAGGTACGTTGTCCTCCAGCTGGTTGCACCAGAAAACATTTCCAGTGAAGCACAGTGAGGGGAGGCGCGTTATGGTGGGCAGCATTTAATCTACCAGTATTCACAGCAGTACCGCCAGCTGCAGGTGGTGCCTGGGCTGTAGTGTTACCAATACATCCAGGGGAACCAGACCCCACCACTCAGCTTCACCGCCCCACCCAGCTGACTCCATCACTTTTATTCTATTTGGAGCTGACCCCGTCTTGGTCTCCTAGGTGGGCTGATTGCTTCCTCCTGGCCAGAAGTCCCCGGGTACGCTGTAGGAGAGGGGGAGCTGCAGTGGGCTTCCAGTGGAAGCTGCTTTTGATCTCCCTGCAGTATTTGCAGGGGAGGCAAGGAAACACTGTTGGTTTGGGCAGAACAAGCTGCAGAGGACGCATCTGGTTGCTATACCTTTAGGGGGTCTCTCCCCATTTTTATCTGGCAGTATAAGCTTTCATTCAAGCGGCAAGCTAAAACCCACTTGGTTGAAGTAGCAAAGTCTAATGGGACTGATGCTGAGGGGTGTGTGCTACAGAAATCTTCCAGCAGGCTTCTGCTGGGTATCAGCAGGCAGGGGCTGACTTGGGGGAGTTCAGGTTCTGTTCGCAAGAGGAGTGCCTGGGGGAAGAGAGCCTGAAGGAGCCTGAGGTCACCCCTTGCCCAAGGAACCGGTCATATTACTCCTTTTAATATGCAAGTGCAGCCCTCTTGGGGAAAACTGTCTAAAGCTTCTCGTGCCATTTGGTTAATAAAAGTGTTTCCACCTTTAAAAGAAAGTTCTTTCCGGCTTCGTTGTTCTAGGGTCAGTTTAAGTGAAGGGGTGTGTACCTTTTTCCCTCTGCCAGTGGGACACTGCTGTAAGACCATGCCCCCAGGTTGCACTTTAATAAATGGTACAGTTTTCAAAAACAAAACCTAGGTGGTGTTTTTTTCTCCTTTCCCCTGTTCAAGTGTAGAGGCTACCTAACAATGAAGGTTGTCTTCATTAGGCAAGGTCACAACCAGCGTGCAGCTGCGTTACCCCTCACAGCATCAGAAGGAGAATGGCACAAGAACACGTGCAGAAGACCCACACCTCCTGAGACAGAGCCAGGTAGAAATTCAAATCCTTATGGCAGTACAGTTCTTGAGAACAGACATTTTTATTTAAAAAAAAACAACAGCAAAAACACTACAGTATTTACATCATTTCTTCAGGGGCAGCTGAATCACAGGCAAAACCTCAGCCACCTTGTGTGTGAGTGGTTCAAGTATCAGAGACCCTGAGTCCACGTTTGCTAAGTGAACCTGAGACACAACCACAAGAGGTTGCTGACGAGAGATGCCAGGTACACCGCCGGGCACACGGCTGTTGCCTTCTCTCCCCTTATGGCAAGCTGTGCTAAAGCCAAAGCCCACCTTGCCTCCAGCATAGCCAGATCACGTTCCCCACAACAATTCGCCCTTGTACCTAAAATTTGATTTTTCAAGCAACCCCAGGTTGGTGTAGATGATGTAGCACCTGCATTTTAGCCTTCCCTGGCCAAACACTCGTGCTTTCTGAAAGGCTGCTTGCTGCCAGCACCCCTCTAGGACGGAGCTGCCCCCCCCACGCAGGCTGTGCTGATAAACCCCACCTTCTACAGCTCGCTGCCTTCCCGGGAAGGGCTCACCCATGGCAGGGCCCAGCTGCGGCACAAAAGGCTGCAGAACCTGACAGCTGGTGAGGAGAAACAGGGAGGGATGGCTCAGTGCCCACCGCACCCTCCCTGCACTACATCTGCTACCAACAGGGACAGGGGAAGAAAAGGAAAGGAAAAAACCCAAGCTGATGAATTAGACAGGGTAAGCACTCTACCTTGCAGGCACTGGCAGACCTGCCATGCAGCTCCCACTACCGTCATTGCCATGCCAGTCTACAAAAGCCTATCTACAAAGCTCTGCCTTCCCTTTCACAGCTGTATCCCAGAAGTTAAGAACAGGAGAAGTCGTTTGAGCAAATCCAGATGCTAAAAGTCTTCAGGAGCCCGTTCTCCACACCGAGGGCTGGAGCTCTCTCACTCAGCGCAGCTGCAGGGAAAGAAACAGAACCAGCATCAGCTGCAGAGCCTCACCGCCCCCGGGAGGGGAGGGCAGCAGCAGCACGGCCTCTGCTGCAGGGGAGCGGGCAGGGGCTGGCTGCAGCCTCTCCAGCTCCCAAAGTCTGGTCTGGCTGTAGCTCACAGAGCCGCGGGGCCGTGTCAGCACTCACCATTCTGGCAACGTAGCCGTGGAAGTGCTGGCTGATGTAGTTCACAGTGGTGCTGAAGACACGCTGGAGAAGGAAGGGCACCTTGTTTGCCACTTTCTTCGTTAGGACCATTGCTAGCACTAGCATGGCCTTCTCTCGTTCCAGGTCTGAGGGGATGGCTCGTGCAAGCACTTCCACAGCCTGCGACAGGCACCGGGTTATCTCCTGCGTGGAGGGAAGAGAGGGTGTCAGTGCAGCAGCTGTGGGAGAAAGGGGTCTTGGCACAGCCAGCACCATGCCAGCAACCCACAGGACTGTAAGGGCACCGTGCTCCTTCCCAGGCACACCCCAGTGGCAGTAGGGACAGCACCTCAGAGCTCAGCTGCTCACCCAAGACAAAAAACAGTGGAAACACCACTGGGAGATTCAGACAGTGCCTTATGTGCTCAGGGATTAAACCCCCCCCGTCTCCCCAGGATATGCACCTAGCCTGCCTGAAAGGGTCCAGGAATCCTGGGCTCCCAGGTGAGGGGAACCTGCCCTAAACACAGGGAAGATCGGGGCACCCGCCTGGGTTCGGTGGCAGAGATGACAAGGCAAGTTTCAAAGAAAAGCCTTCACACAGGCAGGAGCTAGAGATGGGGTCCAAACACTGTCTTCCTCAAGCAGGACATGTGCGTGTGCACACATCAAGCTACACCAGTGATGTGAAAAATCAAGGTCTGCCTGGTCACATTTGTCTCTGCCTTACCGAGGACTGAAAGCTCAGGCAATGAAGCTGAAGCCTGGAACCTGCCTGTGTGGACAGCAAGACCCAAGGAGTGGGGAATGCTGTTGGTTTGTGTATTTGCTAAGTGCGGGGGGTCAGACCAAAAGAAATACCCCCCCAAAAAATCAGTCCTGCCTTTTCAGAAAAGGCTTGCCCTCAAATCAAAGGCAGCACTAGCCTGTAGAGCATAGGAAACTTCATCACAGGCAGAGAGAGACAAACAAGCCAAATAGCCAGTTATCTTGAAGATGCCAAAAAGATCTCTGGAGAAGCAAATTGTGCTTCTGGATCCAATACAGAAAAGGTTTAATACCACAGGCCTCCAATTATTTCCCTTGCAGAGCAGCGAGGCACAGCAGATGCTGGGCCAAGGACCAAGGCACATGACACCATTTGGTGGGGCAGACACCGCAGTGAAGTGCAGGCCACCCACCCAGGAAAAACCCCAGTGCTACTCCCAGCGCTGACAGCCTGTAAGCTAAAGGGTTAGGGCACTGTGGAAGGAAGCACTGGGTTTCACCACTTATTGCCTCACAGCGTACAGTAATAAACACAAACCAAACTTCTAGGAGTGCTTTTGCCCATGTGACAAGCAACAGACAAACAGGACCCAGCATGAGTTCAAAGATCTTAAGGACGAATACTGAACCTTAACCAGACAGTTGATTTTTAAAGATAAACCCTTGAGACAACAAAATGTGGGACAAACTACCTCAGCGTCAGTCCTTGTCCACAACTACCTCTGTTTCCCCATCTGCAGAAAGGGGACAAAGAGCACAAGTAACCCACTTGGCAGGACAAAGGCTGCCCCAGCATACAGCTCCATCACAGCATCAGCTCTAGTAAAACCTTCACATCGAAGTTCAGTGTTAGGGCTGTGTGTTAAAATTGCAAGAATTAAGGCATAAGAACTGCAAAGAGATGCATGACAAGTCTGCTGCTCCTGAGTTACAGCAGGAAGGATCTGCTAGTCAGGTTGTTTTTCACTCACCTCTCTAGACAGATTCTCATTCAGGAAGTGCTGCACTAGATCATTTACTACTTTTGCTTTGACTTCTTTATCCAGCTGGTCTCCAATCTCAGCAAGCTGAGCAGCAATGGTCCGGACAATTTCTTCATTTACCTCAGGGTCAAACACTGCCAACACAGCGCAGGATTTAGTTCACAGGCTGCAGTCAGACTGGGTTCAGTGCACGTAAGTTGCCCCATGGCATTTTGCCCATTGCCCTTAACAGCCTCCTCTCCACCCACCCCAGTCTTCTCCCTTGTTGTGACAGCTGCCTGTGCTACCGCATTCTTGTGCAGCCAACAACTCATTTGCCAGACATTTGCTTAAAAATATATTTGCTTTTTAAGCTGTAGTGTAAGTAAAGTGCTGCATCACCCTAAACAAAAAAACTTGAGGAGGGGAGGCAGAACATATCCAGCCAAGATTTGTGCAGGACTGCTACAGCCAACACCCTGCCTAGGGAGGGAAAGGGAACAGAGTGAGAATGATTTTTCAAGTGAAAACTGTCAGGACCTGTGCCTTAAGCACTACCTAAAACCTAGCATCTCCTTTTGGCAAAGCCTCCCATTGTTGCTTTGGGGTATGAAATCAATAGTTCTCTATGATGGCTGCATATTTACTACAGCAGTTCCTCTTCGTGCTCCTTGGGTTGAGATCAGTGTGACAGCTGCCATCCTGGGCAAGGGGCAACAGCCATGCTGCTCATGGCAGGTGAAACAGGAACAGCATGAGAAACTATGTGAGGAGCCATTTCTGCCACACTGGTACAGCACAAAGGGATTCGTTCAGTACCAGAAGAGCTGCTCCAAAAGCCTAGCCCAAGTGCTCAAACTCCTTGAGGAGCAGAGTGAGGCCTAGCAGAACTGCTGAAGATCACATTAAGGACATCAATCAGTACCAGCTTTGTGCCCCTTGTCTGATAAGCTGCAGACAGGCTGCCCAGGGTGACAGGTGCTCCAGAAATCCCCTTCAGAGAAGGCGTATGGGAAGGAGAAGAGAGCACTCACCTTGCTCACCGTTCTGGAAATGGCCGCTCCGATTCCCATCGGTCTGAAGCTCACCATCACTGTCACAGTAGAGGATGTCTTGCAGAGGATACACAATCCCCTGGCTTCGTAGGGACGGCAGCTGCTCTTTAAACTCACAACCAGAGGACTCCTCCAGGAAAGCAAACAACAGCATGCGCTCCATCTGGTTAAATCCACCGCTATGGATATCCTAAACATGAAGGAATCACTGTTAAGCCCACGTCCCACTCGGTAGGTCCGTGCAGATTCTGTTTTCCCATCGGTGAACACCTTTTTCTGGCCTCCTCTGGGCCCATTGCATGATGATGCCCAATTGACAAGACTCGAGCAACCTAAAGCCAACTCCTGGATGTGCACACACAGAGAACTGCCTGATGGCTGACACCAGACAGCTCTGTTCTTACCAACCCACAGCGGAGGCATCAGCTCACCTCTTCCTGCATGTTTCTAGCAGTGGCACGGACTAAATCCCTGATCAGAGCTCTTTTTTTTAAAGCACAGCTGTGTACTCAGTACAAGTCTCCCGCTTCTGTTTACGGATCTGCATTTCAAAGGTTTTACCCCTGTATTTGGGAACTGGGCATTCTGCTTCCTGTACTGAGCTACGCCAACAGCTCCCCACTTAAATGTCAGAGCAGTAACGAGGTGGGGAATGGAGAGAACAGCATCAGCCTTCAAAATCTACAGCTTGTATTTCTTTTTTTCATTTGAAAGGGATCTAGACAAGCTCCACAATAACCCCCCTCAGATGCCTGTGGCATCATATTTACTTGGGAAGAGATTGAGCAAGGAAGCGGAACAAGGGCAACACATCTGGAAATGGAAACATGGGAAGTAAGGTGCATGATCAAGCACCAAGAGAAAGCACACCTCCCATGACCTGAGCATGGGTGTCTGCAGACAGCAGCAACGCTCACTGGGACACCAGCAACAATCCCCTGAACAACCCACTGGAACTGGCATCTGATTTATGGCCAGAAGAGTTAAGGAAAGGCAGAGGAAAGAGGGCTAGAATGGTACCTTAACATGAAGTGAGGTACAGACACAGTGGCAGACATTTCAACAGCAGTTTAAATGTTTAGCAAAGACTTGTGTGATAAGTAGTAGCTTCAGGATTGTGTTTAATATTGCACAAAGCACTAATGAAGTGATCGCAGCAATGTGTCAGTTTATTAGTTTTAGTGATTTGCTGCTTAATCAGACATTGTAGGCTCTTAAAATCAGTTGCATCTCAAGTCTAAAGGGAGAGTCTCACAGTGAGGTAATGAGGTAGCAGCCTGCAAACTGAATGTTTCCATCTGCTTTTGTTTGCATTCGTGAGGGAGAGGAGCAGCACCAGAAGCCCCAGCATGAATTCTGGGGAAGATGAGCCCAACTTTTTGGAACCCAGCCCCTTCAGGGCAAGTGCACAGGAGAACCACCGACTTCAGCCCCATTTGAAACCAACCTGTTCCATGATGGGTTCAGAAATGAAGCAGCTCTCGTCACCCTCTGCTTGAGATCAAAGTCCTTGCCCTGCAAGAGTGAGAATAAGTGGGGAAAGGCAAAAAAAAAAAACCTCCTACATACACACGAAGAAGGCCCCCCACACGCAGAGATACTGCGTACTGGCTGAAGATACTGGCTGAAGGCAGGCACTGCGTTCCCACCCAGCCTTCTTCACCCCAGGCAACAGCCTGCCTGCTGCACAGGCACCTGCTGACCCCAAACGGGGTGAAAGCACCTGAGAGCCTGCCCGGCCAGATCACCAGCTAGCCAACAAAGATCTGGACTCATGATGACAGACCCTAGTTTATTGAAATAACTATTTAAAACAGATGTGGAGGGGTAAGTGTGCAGGTGGGAAAAGAGGGAGGAAGTGAAAGCAGAAATGAATTCAAACTCTGAGGGAAGCCGCAGTAACAGCTTCAAGAGACCAGGAATTTCCCAGCTTTTAAAGACTCAGAAGTCCCCAGAACCAAAACACAACCTCAAAGATACTTTAAAAAAAACAAAACAAAACACGGTAGCCCGCAGGCAGCCTTTAAGCCATGGGCTCTTTTCACTTAATCATTATGCTGAACTTCTGGTTTCCTAAAACAGATTGCTTTGCATCATGCCATTTCTCTGTTCAGTTCAAATCCGTGCTGCTGCCACTCACCTCAACCCTAAGGAGCGTGCTGCCTGGTTAGAACGCAGTCCCCTCTGATTTCCTGGGACCTGACAGGAACTCTGCAACAGGACAGGGCAACCCTTCTCCAGGGCTTTGTCTTTGCTGGAAGAGAGAGAGATGGTGATTAAGGTGGGAGAATTTGATAAGGCAGCCCTGGAATCAAGAGAAAATTGGGAAGTTAGCATTAAGTCAGCGGCAGGACTTTGGCTTTGTGCAAAATCCTCAGGAGGCATCCAGATCAGGAACTTACCTGTAAGCCTCAGCTTGCAGATTTTGTGTATAACATTCTCCACTCAAAGAAAATCAGCCCAGAACAGAGGTGTCTGTGTTACCAGAAGGGAACAGGGGAGATCCTTTGACACAAAGGCCCACCAAGTTAAACACCACCTCCTGAGCTACCACAGCTGAGACCACAGGAGGCGTGAAGCCGCACTGAGCCCGTGCTGCCCATGTCACACCTGCCTCAGACCCACACTCACTGCAGCGACCCTGGGCTCCCCCAGCACTGCCAGCCCCACTCAGCCCCGGCCGATGTCAAAAGCTCCACATGGGATCACAGCATAACTGCTCAGACAAACCCACGCTGCCTGATTTGGGCTCGGGATCTAATTTTGGCATATGAGCACAGGCTGAACAAGTCTCCCCCTCTTTCCCCATCCTCACCAGCAGACGCAGGGCAGGTGTCCTGCAGCTCCGGGAGGCGCACGGTGCCACTGGAGCCAGGACAGCTGCAGCCTGCACACCAGCACCCAGGTGTGTGAGTGAAAGCAGCCAAGGGGGACTTCTGGACACGCACAGACTTTTTCCCCCCCCCGAGCATGCCCACGGTTTGCTGGTAGTGCTGCAGGGGCAGGGCACAGCAGCTCGGGGCATGCCCATGCAAGCACCTTGCCTGCACAGCTCCCCAGTATGGGGCGCTGGAGCCTTCATGCTCCTCACACGGATTCCTGGAAAGCTGCAGCTTGCCTGGCTGCAGCTCTGACCGTCCGAACACCACATTTGGAAAGCTCTTGGTGCTTTTCAGAGAGACAAGCGCGTGAGCTGGTCGTGGCAGAAAAGAGAGGAGCCTCAGTGCTGGCCCCTGCCCTGGCATTGCTCCCAGGGAGGGACCTGCAGCACGTGGGGGATCAGCTCATCATCCCCTTCCCTCTGGGAGTCAGCTCCACTTCATCCAAGTTACACTCATCCACAAAAAAAATCCACAAAAATAAAGACATTTTAAAAACACAAAAATACAATCACCCGTCCTAACTGCAAACTGAGAGGCTGTCCGCTCCTGTCCATTGGGCTGAGCTAAGGGGCTGCCATGAAGAACAGACAAAAACAAAATGCCCCCCCGCACTCCCCAAGTACTTATATGGTAAAAAATTGAGACAAAGCAGCTTTAGGTGGTGATTTCATGAACTCTCCCCACATCAAGCGATCACCACCCAGGCAGTGAGAGCCCCTGAGGGGCTCCAGCCTTTGGCTAAGCAAGTTCCACTTGGGTGGTCACAAACACACCTGAGAACAGGAAAAGATAACTTCTTTCCTGCCACAAAACAGCTCTCTACCATAAAGATAGCTTTTTTTTTTTTTAACTACTTGTTCCAGAGGCCTCAAATTTTAGGTAACTCCCTTGAATCAATACAAGGGGTTTTGGTATTTACAGAGCTCATCCTGAGAAGTCAAACTCCTCCGTGGCAGCTCAGAAAAAAAAATAAATCAGACCCTTGAAGAGCAAACCCTGAACAATCAAATACAATCACACCAATGCCATCTGAGTTTAATTCATTAAAGCTTTTGAACCCTGAAAGCTGTAGATGGGGATTTTAAGACATCTTCCAATGGATGTAAGAAGTTACCTATTACGGGATGAACAGTATCTTTAGTAGGAAGATGAAAATAAGATGGAGATTACAAACTACCTATACTCAGATTCAGAGTAAAACTTGATCAGCTGCTAAGGCTGCTTTACAACTGCTAGAAGTCTTAGCAAGTATTTTATGGAGGACGATATCCGAGTTAAAATACCAGTTAATTTTAATGCATTATTCCTCCAGCCTCTGTTGCAGCTCCGCACTGTGTCAAGCAGACACTCAGCAGAACCGCCAGGAACGAACAGATGCAGCTGTGAGCCTGCTGATCCTCCTCCCCACCATTTAGGCAGTGGCCAATCTTTCATCCTTATTTCCTCCCCCTCCACGCCTCGGTGGCCGCTGCCTGCTCAGTTACAAGCTGTGCATTGAAACGGTGCCAGCCCCGTCGAGCTGAATCACTGTAACTTGAGGGAGATCACCTCCAAAACAAACCAAAACATGAAAAAATAGCATAAGCAGCAACCCCTCCTACTCAAACTGGGCACCAGCAGCAAAAGCTGCTCTGTGTTAATGCAGAACAGAGCGTCCGAGCGAGTCCCACTGCTCGGAAGGAGCAAACACGTGGGCAGAGAGAGGCAAAGTTATTCCCAACTCCTCCTAAGAGCCACCGCCTGCTCCCGTGGGGCTACGAAGGACATGATAAATCAGCATTTCTCCTAGCTGAGAAGTGCTGGAAGGACAGAGAGATGTCCCACAAGGGGTCTGACCTCAGAAGATAAACTCAGAGAGTCCAAAATAGCAAGGGCATCACTTCCCTGCAGCTCTTGCCCAAAAGCTGCTGCAGGGCCCCTGTGGATGTAGGCCTACCTGCACACACCCTGGGCTTTCCCTGGGATCCAACAGCCAGGAACAACCACGGCGATCACTTTCCCAAGGCACTTCTGTCTTCCTGTAAGCCCACTGGTGACTTCCAGCACAAATACACAGCTGCTAACCCGCTAACACACATCTCTGGGCAGCAGGGGGTGGCACTGCCTCCTTTAACAGCTCCTCTCAGCTCCAAGACATCCTGTACAGTGCCCAGACAGCCCCGCCATCAGCCAAAGCTCTCACCGTGCTCTGTCAAGATCCTTATCTTTGTTTTACCTCAGGTTAGGAGCCAACTCTTCACAGCAGAGGCTAAAAAAAGGCCTCGGTCATCAAGGGGAGAGCTTGCAGCCCGCGCAGTGATTCCTCTGCCTGGCAGCTGGAGATAAGGATTTATTTTTGGCAGTCGGGATGACGACATCGTGGAGCAAAGGGAGCAGTACCTGTGGGTCCATCTCCGGACCTGGTGGCCTTCGCTTGCCTGGCGGGCAGAGCCCTCCACAGGAGGGATCACCTTACAGACAGGGTGTGTGCTGATGCAACTCGCTCTGTCTCCTGACATCTTAAATCCCCATTTCAAACCACAGCCACTCAATTTCACGACGCTCCCCAAAGCGTGCCACAGGCATGACAGCTTTACAGGAGGCAGCAACATGTCTCAGAGCTACCTGAGCTCCTCAGGTGAGGGAAGACACCCTGCCCATGGGCTCAGGCACACACCACAGCCAGTTCAGTGGGCTTTTTCTGCCCCTTTTTGACGAGAAGCATTACTGGAGGCTCTTCTAAAGAGAATAGTTAGACTGACCTTTTTATGAGACATATTTAATCTCCCAGGGGGGTTGCATTATTTTTAATTCTGTGCTTTTGGCTGGAGATTATGCTGACTACACACTTACAGCAATCCTCCAGCTGTCAGGGGCAGCTCTGGGACTGCCTAGTGGAAAAAGCCATCCTGCTTCCTCCTCAGCCTTGATGCTCGTTCAGCTCAAAAGGCTCTCCCCCAGGTGGCACCATCAGTGGACAGGAGGGAGCACAGCACATTGCCAGTCCTCCTTATAGGGGAAAAGAAGGAAGAAGTGGGCTGCTGTGATGACTGGTTTTTCTATCCAACCTCAGGAGCCAGCCTAGGGACGCACCAGGGCTGGGTTTACTCAGCACGAAGCCTGCAGCTCAGGCTGCCCCAACGCGCAGAGCCAGATCCTGGATTCAGCGGGACCCAAGGGGAATCTGCGTGTCCCCGTATTTTGGGGACCAGCTGAGGAGATGCTCCGGCCCTTGGAAAGGACTGGACACAGCAGCTGCCACCCCAACTAGAGGACAACACCTCCTGAACATCCAGACTCTGTTCACACGTGCCAGCACGAGCACAGATCAGCCAGGAAAGCAGCAGCGCTGCTTCACCTCGCAGCTTTGGTGCATTTCACTGCTGATACCGGCAGTAAGGAACGAATGAGCTGACTGCCTGACTGGGACATCAGGAGAGCCAGGAAGGGAACTGGTAAGGAAAGACAGACACGGGGACACTACCAGCCGCAGACCCTACCACTGGACCAGAACTTCTCCTCCAGGCCCAGAAGGAGGAGTATCTGCAGTGCCTCCTGAAACACAGATGCTACAAAGATGCTCCCAGCACGGGATTTTAAACGCTGGATCAGCAGGGGACATGTGGGACTAGGTGTGCAGGAACAGGAAGGGAACATTGTAAAGGAACCCGACCAAAGTCCCCTGCTGAACAAAACCAGCCTGCTGATGCAATCGGCAGCAGGGCACTGGCCAAGATACTACGCAACGGTGCTGAGCACAGGACAGGCTCCTCTCAGCACCCCACAGCCACTTGAAGTGCAGCCCACTCACCTCACCCAGCTCTGAACACCCCCTGTAAGTCTTAAGAAATTACAGAAAAAAGGGTACAAAGATCCTCACAGTGGCACAATTAGCTGCTCCAGCAGCATGCACAGCACCATCTCAGTGCTTGAGAACTTCTGCAAAACACCATGATGCACTTTAAGCGGGCTTCCTTCCTTCCGAAGGTCAGACACACCACAGCTACAAACACCCCTGTCTGCTAGGAAGCAGCCACGCATCAGCACAAGCAGGCAAGGTGATCCTCAGAGAAGCTGGACACCGTGCCTCTGGTGACACGAAGCGTGCTGGCCCTCAGAACCCTCTCCTCTCGTGTTGCATTTCCAACTCTTATTCCTGCCACAGAAATTAAACAGGTGAAGCCAGTGGTAAAATAAAAAGGAGTCATTTTGGTGGAATCTCCTCAGACAGGAGCCCATTCAAACCGTGCAACCAGAAGGGATGGTGACAAGACAGCACTCTCAGATCCAATTAAACAGCAACTCCTCACCAGCATTGTGAGGACAAAGAAAGCGTGATCTCTGCTAAGCACCTTTAAACAACAACACACAGCTAAGAGACTGTTCTCTTCCAAAGAAGTGCAATGGGGCTGTTTGGAAACTGCCGAGCAGCTGCCCGGGGGAAACACCCTTTCTTACTTCTTGGCACCCCGCATCAATCTTCTCCTCGACGTTGCCTCGGGCTCCCCAGCTGTAGGTCCGCGGGCGATGCGGAAAAGCGTGGATTTTACTGCGAGAAGAAGCATGACAGTGCACGAAATAACACAGCCTATTTCACTTTCAGTTTTAGCTTAGGAGGAAACAGATTAATGTTTTGTCCCAGAAAGTGAATGCAAAACCAAATATAAGTGTAAAAATGTCAATGTGAATGTCAGAACAAAAACAAAATACAGCAGCTAGCTGATGCAAGCAGATTTGTTTTGTATAGCTGTTAATACAAGGGTTAAAGCCAGCCACTGGGAGTTACACTGATAAATTAACTTGTTTTCCTCCTTAAAGGAGATTAAAAACATCTCAGTAAGTTAGAGAGACACGGCCACCGCCTGTTCATTCACCGTGACACCGCAGCAAGGACGTAGCAGGAACTAACCAAAGGTTGGGGTGCTCTGACAGGAAACACAGCAGGCTTGCTGACACCACCAAAAATCCAGCACCCATAGCCCAGGTGCCCTGCTCACACCTTAGCCAAAGCTGAGGAGGAGGCCTGGGATTTTAAAGTCACATTCTGAGCAGAAGACTCCAAGTAAAAGGAGTTCAGAGCCACGGTGACCCCTCTCTCCTTTAGTGGGGAGTGTCACACAGGAGGGTATATTGCAGCATACAACCTTTCCCTCATATTCACCAGCAAGGACAGCCCAGCCAAGCCCCACCATGACCAGGAGGCATGCTTGGGTCAAAAAAGATACAAAATCCTCAGGGAAAGGACCAGCTACATCCATCCTGTAACCATTAACTGATGAGTTTTAACTTGCCCAGCTCCCTCATCCCGAGATAAGCCATCCAAAACTAAAATGGGATCAAACTTCAAGTAGGAGCCTCACACTTCCAGTCAATCTACAAGTTCAACCCCCTAATTAAAAATATTTGCAAGCATTTGGCTTGGTACAGCACACAGATATGAAGATAACTCCAGCTCCAAATAAAGTGCAATCTGACGCAGGCAAAAAGCCACAGCATGCTAAGAGAAAACCAGAGGAAGGTGCTATGCAAAGAAATATCAGATTTGCTGGTAAATTCAGCTGAGGGGCTACTAACAGGTGGAAATGAAACCTGCTCTTTTGCAGTCAGTTCCTTTCAATAGAGAAAACCAGCAGCTGGGCTGACTCCCCTAGCCCCCTGCTGCTTGGCAGCTCATATCCAGGGGCAACAGGAGCAGCTTTATGGAGGAGCCTTTATGGAGGAGCCTACCTCTCACAGCCACCACCCTGCAGTTATGTCAGCAGGCTGTGTGTGGGGCTTTTACAGGCTCAAGGCTGTATCAGGTACTACGTCCTACTCGCCTGTGCACCCTGCAATAAGGGAAGCAATAACTTCTGGATGCCAAGCCACTCTGGAAAGGTCTCCAGAGGTGGCAGTCACAGGATTTATGTGCCTGCCTGCCTCCAGATAAAACATTTCCATCCTATCTCAGCATAATCTGTTCGATCTGCCAGCTCCTCAAGACTTCTGAGGAGCGAGGGTGACCCCGCCATCCTGTTACACAGGAAAAACAATACCAGGAAACAACCGAACAGGGGTCAGTTATGTCACGAGTGCTCACAGACGACGCACACACCAGCCTTCCCCAATTACAGTTACCACAGCTCTTACTGATCTGGAGTTAACGGAAATCAAAAGCCACCGAGCACCTCTACAAGGCGCCCACGTTACCCAAGCACAGGAGTCCCGAGCACGGAGACTCGAGGCTTGCACAGGCAGCATGATGGTGTTGGTTAGGCATGGAGCTGGACACAGCACACCGAGCTGCGCCAGCTTACACCTGGGTGTAAGAAATCAGCGAGGGGCTGGTGGGACCCCAGCGAAGCCACCTAACCAAGTGGTCTTGTTTCCTTCCTAAATTCAGCAGATACAACCAGGTACTTATGAGAAGGAGGAAGGCAAGTAAGAATGCAAGACCATGCAGAAAGACCTCCTGTTCAACCAGTATCTTTCATAATGTTATGCTTTCATAAGCAGGTGAAAAAAAAGTTTCGGTTTGACTAAAGCCCAAAAAAAAAGCTGATAAGAGAACCCCCAATCACCCCCCCAACACACACAAGTGGACTTTTTCTAAAAGCCCTTTGCAAGGAAAGAGAAAGCACACCTTAGAAACAATTTCCTGCTGGGGAACCACCTCACTCCTTCCTCCACCGAAGGGCTGAGGAGGCCGTGAACGAAGCGCATGAAATTTTAACCCAGATACCCCAGGAAACACCAGAGCAGGGGGCGCGTTGCTCTGAGAGGAGCCTGGGCCTTCCGCACACAGCCTGGCATGGTTTAACTAGTTCTGAGGCGCTGGCGCCCCGATGTTTAGTTAACGTTACAGAATATTGTTCTTTTAAAAAAACAAAGTCGCCACAGACTCGCTCCGAGAGGCGGGAACGGGCAGGGGCCGCCCTTCCCTTACTCCCCCACTGCCACCCCCCATCCCTGCATCCGTCCCTCCTGCTGGAGGGCAGGGATCCCTCGGGGGTCCCTGCCGCAGGATTAATCCCCGGTAAGCCCCCGAAAGCCGCCCTCTGGGCTGAGAGCTCCCGGCACGGCCCCATACGGGCTGGGAGAGAGCAGCCGAGGGGACAAAGCCAGCGGCGGGAGCAACAGCGGGTTGACCTGGCGGCCGGCCAGCGCCAGCGCGGGAGGGAGCCCCATCGCGATACCGGCGACAGCGCGGCGAGTTAAACGCAAATAAAAATAAAAACAAGCGGCTGAAGGCAGGGCTCAGCGGGTGGAACAAAGCCGGCCGGCCCGCTGCTGGCCCCGCCGCTCTGCTCTCCTCTCCCCCCTCCCCGGCGCTGCACTCACCCTGCGGGCACAGCCCCGGTGCTGGCGGCTCCGTCTCCTCGCCGTTGCCGCTCTCGCCCTGCCCCCGCCGCCCGCCCGCCATTTCATGCTTCCCGCTCCGCCCCGCTCCGCCCCGCACCGCCCCTGGGCGCCGGGCCAGCGCCATGGGCCGCCTGCACGAAGTTTCCCTCAGGAGCTCGTCCCTCTCGCCGTGGCACTGCTTAAAATAAATTTGTTTCTTTCACATGGAGATTTCCTCTCAGGCTCGCGCTCCTGCCCCGCAGAGCCCCTCAGTGATGGGGTCAGGGGAGGGCTGGCTGGCGCCAGGTCGGAGGCGATCTCGGGGGGTCTCTTCGAGCCTCGGTGATGCTGTGACACGGGGCACCCCGAGGCTGTGGCGAGGGAGGGCTCGCTATTTTCGGCATTCCTACAAAATCAGGGGCAAACGGGCTCTGAGTCAGGCTCCAGTAATGCGCTCGTCCTCTGCCAAGTTTTCTAAATTCCGAAGGAATTTGACAAGAGACGTGCAGGGAGACTTCCCTCTTGCAAACTGCTGAACTTGGTCTTGGAAAGGACTCACTGTTAGCCCCACGTAGGCAAAACCCCGATTTTCTCTCTTTTCTTAAGTCAAAGAAGCCGTATGTTTCTCCTCAGAAATCTGCATATTTTTTTGGCTTCTGGCACCCGAGTAAGTTGGATTATTTCATGTATTTTATACAAAATATTAATAATAAAGCGATGTTATCTTTCACTTAAAAGAAACCACGTGGTTCCATATCTGAGACATTCAGAAAAGCACCATATACTCAGCAGTTTTGGAAATCTTTGTTTACTCATTCCCTTGCTGCCTACAGGCATCTACAGCAAACATGCCAAGAGAAACGGTACTTTTTATGAGGTTTGGTTTGGACAGGGTGTTGTTTTTTTTTTCTTCCTTTGAGTGCTGTGTAAGAGGAAGGAGGCAACTTCATCGTTTCCATCAAGTGATATCTCTTAACGAGAAGCAGAAGGCCCCCTCCCTCTCTCTGGGAGGATGCGGTCGAGCACCCACATGCCAGCACTGTGGGTTTCGCCCGCCACCACCTGTAGGACCCTTCTCTCTCGTGACAGCTCCGCTGCTGCTGCTGCTGCTTGGGATCTGAGGGAGGAAGACACGCTCAGGCCCTGCTCAAGGTTTTAAAGTGAATCACCTCCAGTCCCCTTTCCTGGAAAGACATGCGGCCAGGTCACATCCTGGGAGGATTAGGTTTGCATTCACCTGTATGCAGAACTTACAAGCACAATTGCTAATGTAGGCAGCAGTTGCAACATTTTTTTCATAAACTGTTTACACAAGGCCAGAATGCCAGGTTTTTCACCTGCTGTTCTCTCTTACTATTAGGCACAACTCATCTCTAGTTATTTTTTTCCTGTGAAGTTGTATAATATAGAGAAAAATACACAGAAGTGGGAAAAAAAAAACAACACCCTGGATCTTTGCCTTTATCCAGGCGCAGGAGCTGTATTGCATGATCTCTCTCCTCTGCTGCCAAAAAGAGGCGCTGCCACATCTTGACATCATGTGTTCCTAACAAACCTATCTAAATCTTCCCTCCTATGCTGTTCTTCAGAGCCAGCGGCGTTTTCATGCCACGGTCTGGGCATGAAAACGCCGATCTGGGATCTGGGGAGGGTCACGGTTCTCTGCCTCACCACTGGCCTGCCCGTCCCCGTGCAGAGCATGAGGCAGCTTCGATGGAAGGAAGGCCACGTGTAAAAGTGCTGGGGCTCCTGAGGGCTACGTTATCAGCCATTGAAACTGAAAGCAACAGCTGCCACAATGCAGGGCTCCTGAGACAGGAGTGCTTTGTTAGAGAGCCTTTTTCTGGTGTTATTGCCTACCCACACATGGCTAATCTGTACAGGAAGCGTGACGCTGCTCACCTCAGGGCTCTGCAGGGTCAGCGTGGCTCTTGGCCGGAGTAAACAAGGCAGGATGGTCTCCCCGTGGGCCTGGCTGTTCGTTCATAAAACAGCAGCACCTGTGGCTACCTGGTTGCGATCAGACAGCCTTCCTGGGTGCTTGATGGGCATAGGCTGAGGGGCAGCCCCTGAGGTGTTGAGGCAGCGGGATGTCAAGTGCCCTAAGCCATGAACAGGAGCTGAGCTCCTGTGTCTGGGGGTCCAGGGGTTACTTCCCATACACCCACTTCATATTTGGCACCAAGGGAGGGACTTGCGCAGAGCAGAAATAATCGCGGCCTTCTGCCAGCAGAGATCCCTCCCAGCTAACTCAGCTTTCTCTCATTTTGAGAACAAGAGACCAAAAAAAGACAGGAACAACTGCAGGGCTTGAAACATCCCCAGAGAAGCGCCCACCTGCCTACCAAGGTGCCTGACTGAAGGAGAGCGCCATGCCACTGCGCTGGGGACAAAACTTTCCACAAGGCCCGGCATCCCCTTCCTGGTGCCCTAGGAGGTCTGCTTTAAAACAGCCGCCTTACAAACACCCGAGTTTATCCTTTGTTTTGAAGATGGGTGGGCGGGCAGGAAATCCCCGGCCGGGATTTCCCACATCCTGCGTGTTCTCTGCCTGCTAAATATAAGGCACACGTCTTATGATTCGCCTCACATACTTGATCATGGCAGTGCCGTAGGAGCGGCTGCAGTTCCTCTGGGCTTTAAACTCCTGGCATTTACTGGATGCAACACCCAGCACTCGAGCTGAACATCTGTTCTCTCTCAAACAGGAGATGCCCGGGTGAGACGGCTTTTCTTGACACATGCTGGTGAGGTTTCACCTCCGAATCCTTCCAGGATGTTGACGAGACCGCTCTGGAGCTGCGTGGAGCTCCCTGACCTTCCTGAGCTGCCACAGGGCGGGTGAACCAAGGGCGTGCAGTGGTGGAGGCCTAAAGCAAAATGGGACATCAGCAGCAAGGTGCTTGGTGTCACTCTTCCTGTTTTGCTGAACACAACTGTACCAGGGCTCACACCAGGACTGTAAACTAAGGAAGGGGAACTACAGCTATAGAAAGTAAATCCTAGTTCCTGCAATTGAATTTTGATTGCTTTCCCCCCTTTTTAGTTATTGTTGCAATTTCTTTTCATAGAAGCAGCAACGTAAAATTGGAGAAAGGAGGACCATGTGCTGGGGGCTTTGTGAAGATCCAGCTGTATTCCAGGTAATTCAGCAGGGCTCAAACTGTTCTGCCAATAGAAAAGCCAACATCAAATCCTGTAAAACCTGTGTTTTTTTAATCTCATCTCAAGATCACCTTCCCTTAGGCTCCTGGCTTCCTCTTCTATCATCAACTGTGGGAATGAACGCAAGGGAAACAAATGGTAACTCCAGCAACAAAAAGAAAAAATAATTAATGACTTTATTTTTTTTTTAGTTCAGTTGGCCATCTGAGGTGCTAAAATCTCAACACCAATGAAGCAAGTGTGCATAAAAACAAATGATGAAACACAACCAAACAGGAGAAAACAGGCTGGAACAGAGAGGGATTTTTTTTTTTTTGTTGGTTTTTCATTTTTTGTTGTTGTTTTTTTACAGGTAGGGTATACGCTTTTCTGTTAACACTCCATAAATGCCAACCATAAAAGCCTTGACCAATCTGAATATCAGAGTTTACTTTCATTCAAAAGGGAAGATGCCAAAGCAGATCCCTTCACCTGGAATAGACTTTACACACACACACACACGCATGCACGCACAGATACAGAGAGTATTTAAATTACTGCAATGCCATCACAACTTGGCACCCTCCCCTTCACATCTACTGTCAGTGACATCCTCGTCTGCCCATTACCCTGCCTACAGCAGTGCTCTGGAGCAATTCAAAAGTGGAGGCTTTTGGAAAGCTTCTAATCTCGGCTATTTTGCAATAGTCAAGAGCAAGCAATCTCTCTCTGTCAACTATATACAGGCTGGTTTTATAGTACGCTTTAAGAGTTCTCTTTATTGCAGACAGTGATGATTTAGACTCCCATACAGCCATACAGTGGCTTTTCATTTTGTACACAGATTTTATAACGCAACACCTTTCTCATCCAGTGGTGCTTGGTGTAAACATTTAATTGAAAACTCATTTTGAAAGAATGTTAACCAAACAAGGTGTAGCTGTGAACATTTTAGGAACAGCTGCTAAAAAAATGGAACTGCTGGCTGCTCTAGATCATGCAGTCTAGAACACTTATAATACTTCATAATGTTCAAGATTAGGATGTATAAAAATATTAAAAACCACCAGAGTGCACACAAACGTGGCGACTAGGTCTATGCAAGCACTGTGTTGTTCTAACAGAGGCCTAGGCTTTGCACAAAACTCAGGTTCTTGACCGCAGGGGTAACCCAAGGGCCCACTGGTGTCTGTACATACAAACAAATATTTACATAAAATGCAGAGACAGATAGAGAGTAAGACGGACTTGTAAAACTTGCAGTTTGCTCTAAAATATGTTCAGCAATGTGGTTCATAACATGCCCTAGCGAGACCATGGGGTTTTGGTTAACTGAAAGTTGGAGCTGAAAGATAACTTGTCATCTCCCCATGCATAGTTCTCTGAAGCTCAGGATTTTACAGCCATTTGTGAGTTTTAATGAAAAGATGATAAAAGGAACAGAACGGTTAAAAATTAAAACATACTGTGAAAACAGCAGATTGGTTGTTTTGGCAGTCCTCACTCCCCCATCCTCATTTGCCTCCCGCGTGTTTCCAGGAGGCATCCCCTCCCTTTATCCCTTTGCTTCCCCTTAGGGGACTGAAGTGCTTGCCCCCTCCTCAGCGTGCCCATTTAAAACCAAACCCAGGTTAGGTTCCGAGCTCAGCTCTGGAGGAAGCGCCCAGCCCCTGGTATGGCCCGGGACCCCTGCTCGAAGCCGAGGGCCTCTCCTCTTCCCTCAGACACAGCACGGAGGCACGGCACTGCGTGCACGCGGCTGAGACACGTGCTGCTGCCCGCAGGGACAGCACGAGGAGCTCGAACATCTGACTTGGATTCTGATACAAATAAGGAATCTTGTGGTCACAAGAGCCTTCCTCAGCTTTACAAATATAAAATTTGAATTAAAAATATTCAGATAGTAAAAAACCCAGTATCTGATATGCAAGTTATATTCTTAAAGTGCAACTGAACAGCAAATACAAGTTGTGCCTTTTACAACCATTTGATATAAAAAGGCCTTTGAAGATTCCCTTTCATGTATTTTCAATTAATTTGTGTGTGCAACGTTAGGCTTTCATTTTTATTCTCAGTGCTGGAGGACTTTAGCATGACCTAAAGAGTTCAGTTTCAGAAAAGGTGGTCTTCCCCTGCAGGAGGGCGTTACACCCTCAAGTGATACCACTCTTAGGCACTGCAAAAATCTAGTCAGTGTCCTCTAGCATGAAAGGGAAAAGCAGTAATCTGGTATTTCTCCTTTAGGATTTCTTTCTGTTCTACAGCTCACATTCAGTGATCTTTTGTTAAAAGTTAGATGTGGTCCTTACACATAGTGCACTATAAAATGGACTGAGGCCACTTCTCTGTGCAAGACAGTTTGTTGTAAACTACCTCGTTTCCCTCTCTTCCCTCTCCAGTTTCCACTGGCCCCCCAAAAGCAGACTGTAAACTCTCGTTACCAATGTGGCTTCTGCTGCTGGCCCCTGCACTGACGGAGGGACACACCTGTTTGCTGGCCATCCCGCAGGCAGGCCAGCACTCCTGAAGAGGTTTGTCCCACGGTGCCGGTAGAGCAGGCACCGCATCCTAGCACAGCCTCGTTAACCTTAGCAGTGCAGCTGCCTGTCTGCTTTGTTTCACGAGCATTTGGGTTTCATTTGCAATGCCTTAGCAGAAAACAGTAGAGGGGGCAAAGGGGAAACTCTTGAGGTGATAAAATACATTTCCACAGCTAACGGCCAGCCCTGCTCAGAGACCCTGGAGGCAGTCCAACCCATTCTTGCTCAGCCTGAGATATGCTCATGAGTCAGAGGTGAATTCCGGTTGTAGACGCTGGCTTACAGAAGACCTCTCTGAAGAAAGTAGAGAGTCAACAGCAAGAAACCTTGATAATTTCTATCCCGGGACAAAAGATTAAAGGATGTTCAGCCCTGCTGGGGTATCTTGCAAAAACAGCGTATATCTAAGCTGAAAGAGCCAGCATGCTGTGTGAATAGTGCTTGGGAATGGGACATGGGACACTTCTGCAAAGACACTGGTGAGCAGGCTTAGTACTTTTTTTTTTTTTTTTTAAAGAAAATGGGATAGGCAACAACTTAAGGGAAAACAAACCAAAAAAAAAAAACCCAAAAAAAAACCAACCTCAAAACACAAAGAACCTCTTAACGTATCACGTTAAGGATGGGACACAGACCCAACACACAGTGCTATTTCAGCTCTGTGCAACAAGTTAAGGATTAGTGTGCTCTGAGAAGCTGTAAAACAGTGGATGGTACTGAACTGCTCAGTGCATGTCCTGCTCGTTACTTAATATATGGTTACAATGAGTACCCTCATGGCTTAAAAGCAGCAGCTTCACTAGCTGAGCCAAGAGGAGCTTCTTCCAACAGCTGCAGCAGGAAATGTGCTATTTGTGTTTTCATGGAAGTCCCTCTAGCTGTATCTCAAGAGTGTGAGGGTCCCATCTTTCAGCGAGAAAGAGATCTATGGGATATTTCTACCTCACGTTTTTGGCTTTCTCATTATAAAAATTTAAATAAATTATAGGTTTATTAGTCCAACAGAAGGATTCTGGGATGCAGATGAAAAGTATGCTAGGAGCACAAAATAGATTCTTACAACTCCATGAGTGCGCAGGATTTTGTCATAAAGGAAATCTGCTAGGGCAGGGTACATCCATGGGGTCCACAAAGGCTGCCCTTGCCGTGAAGCCGGGAACAATCCACAGTAGTGTCTTCCTCTAACAGAGTTAAAACACTCCCTCCACACTCAAATATGTGTAACATTAAAATTATTAATAAGAACACTAATAAATAGCCACAGGTAACAACGTCCAGTAATTTAGAAGTGGAAGTTGTAGGATGCAGCAGGCACACACACCCATCACTCGTCCATTTTTTTTTTCCTAAAAGATACAAAAATGAATCTTCTTTCAAGTATTAAAAAAATAAGTTAATCGACATAAAAGGGTCAAAGTGACTGAGGGCCCAGGCAGGACTTAAGCTTCGTTTCCAATGTGCAAAAACAAAATACAGAGGAAAAAAATAAAAACACTGAAAAGTCTTAATGGTGGTTTCAGTCACTTAAGGGCTTCTCCCTTTCGGGGCCTAACAGCCAGGGAATGCTGCTTGGTAACACCCCTGCCCCAGCACACAGTTACCACTGTCCCACAGTCCGTATTTTCCAGTGTCAAAACAGTCGCAACAAAAACAGAACAAAGAAGCCCAACAGCCTCTGAGCCGTGGCCACGAAGACTAAGGCCAGCAGTAGCTGTCTCTCCAGTGTGTAGCAAAGCAGAAGGGCATCTTCCCTCTCTCTTCTTCTCCCCTTTCTTCCCCAACAATAAAGGTTTAGGAGACTATGATAGGGAGGGAGTCCTCTGATGCCCAAATCTCTTTAAAAACCAGGAGACAGAGTTCCATCACAAATGCTAGTAGTGTCTTCTCTGTCTCCAATTTCTTCATATCCATGCATCGTGGCCAACTGCAGGTTTCTTTGGTGGGGAGGAAGACTAAAGCAAAGAAGGTACTGCCCTGGGCTTCTGGAGCTCTTCTGGATAGTTGACTCCACCATACAGGCTGCTACAGGCTGCTGTGGTTTTCCAGAGAGGGTTGCCACTTCCCTCCCTTTTATTAGAATTGGTGTAGTAAAAATGGGAAAGGAATAGACTGCCATAAATCCAGATTAGTTAAGGGCACTTCTTCCCTTAACCTCCTTCCCCACACATGGATTATTCCTCTCCCTCCTACCACACACACAAAAAAAAAGAGGCCCATCGTACAGGACCCTCGAGGAGACTCCACAAACTCAACTCATTATCTTCAGCTTGGCTTGCAGACATGTAAAACTTAAGCTTCTGGAACCAACACACTTATCAAAAGGCTTCTGAGTGCTTCAAACCGAATCACTGCATGCTGGCAGACCCTTTGGAGATTTCCCCTTCAGCATCTTCCTATCCACGTAATTCTGGCGAACTCAGGGTAGGCCAACCGGACAACGCAGACCAGCAGAGGTAAATGTGTCAAGCTCAGGACCAGTTCAAGCTAAAACCTTTGGAGAGCATGACTGCCTCCAGGTCCTTGTCTTCCTCTTTTTCTCGAAGCCGTTGCTCCTCGAGGAGAGCCACGAGAGAATCTCTCTGCTCCACTACTTCTAGCATCTCGTTCAGGATCCTCTTCTCCTCTGAGAGCTCCTCGTCTGTCTTCAGATGATCTACAGAGACATCGGAAACTGTCAGCACACACGAGACTAGCAGTATGTACATACAAAAACTACGAAATGTTCTTTACTGCTCTCACCTTCCACTGCCATCCTCTCCCGGAGCTCCTGCTGTAATCGACTCTGCCTGTCTTCCAGTTCCAGCTCCCGAGCACTGGAAGGGAAACACAACAGGAGTCCAAATAAAAATACTCAGAGTATCAAAATACTCTGTACAATTGCTCCATATCTGTTCTCAGTTTCTGCCCCCCTCTAGATATGTCATGCATTTTATCAATCTGTTCTGGAACAACTTTACAGATACCTACCATATAGAACTGTATATTTTACAGATGCAAATGTACTTTCAGTATCTCAGGTTCTTTGCCTTCAGCTAGGAAGTGCAATACACAAAGCTGAGCAATTTGATGTTGATTAAATTTAAAACAGTGTGAAGGAACAAACAAAGCTGCCATCACCATAAAATCATACTTTACCTCTATGTATCTCCTCCCACTTCCCACTCTAAAGACAAAAGTTATTTACCAACTGAGGACAAGCCAGGACATTGCCTTTTCAGACTCAAATGCAGACAGCACCTTGGGGCTTTTCTGACACAGACACTGAAACAGACACTGAGTTTCCACACTACCCAGGTCAGCTGACATACTCAGAAACTAATTTCAGTGAATTTGCACCATGGAGACTGAGAAAACTCCCTGTTTTGTTGACAGGGAAAATACTTTTCATCTGAGCCCAAATGGGAAGCACCAGAGTCCCTCTACAGGCAGAGAAGAGGCCCACACGGCAAAGGAGATGGAATTAAACAGTTTTGGCTACACTCAGAAGTGAACTCTACCAAAACCAGGAAGAATCATGGATTATTTCTGTGTAACTCAAGACACTTGTGTGAACAACTTATGTTTTATGCCAGAACATCTTGGGAAAGGCTCGGAGCTGAACAACCATACTTCTGCACGTACATAAATAGCTGGAACTTACATTCCTTACTATTCCTTCTAGCACTCTTCTAAAACAGAGCCTGATTCGTATCTCAGCCAAGAATCAACCTGAGAGACTGCTGACCTTCAGGCATTACAGGGAAGACAGCAGTGACAGATCTGCTACTACTGTTTCTAAAATAATCCCTCTTTTGAAGCTTGGCATGTTCACTCACAATATCATCAGTTCGGACTCGTAGCGAACCAAGGCGTTCTTCTCCTGCACCAGCTTGAACCACTCCTGCATCAGCTTGGGATCATCCTTCTTTCCCATGCCTGCAAAGAAAGAAACTCGATAAATTTCCAGGTAACGCTGTGTAATCCTTACAAGTCCAAATGGCAAAAACAGCAATGGGGCAAAATGTGCAAAGAAAGCCGAGCAAGATGCTGCCAGAGCACTCCCAAGCCGGGTCCATTCAGTTTGCCTAGAGCAGACGGAAGAGTGGAAGTCACCTCCAAAAGGATTCTCTTGTCTTTGGAGCCTGATTTTTGTTTGCTTTCTGATTTTCTTGTGATTGCTTGTTTCTTCCTCATGCTTACTGTGGAAAGCCCAGACTTCTGTTAAATATTTCACTTTTCCTTTCATTAGAAGAAAAGTCTTAAAGTTCCTCATGCCAGTTCCTGAAGTGTATTTTCATCAGAAATTGACTCAATTGCCACTCCATGTGTTTTACCCTGATTTGCTTCAATTGCACGTCCTCAATCTTTATTTTACTGGCAAAAAGTAACATCTCATCTTTTCTCATTTCAATAGCTAACTAATTTTTTTTTTTGACTTCTCCTACTAGCCACATGCATCTAGCCACCTTGAAGATTCCCTCTGCACAGCGAACACAGAAACTACTTCTACCATATTGCACATCAGCACTGGAAAGGAGAAGAGAACCACCAGACACCTTTGCTAATGTAGAAGCAAAAGCAAAAAAATCGTGGGCTAATACAGAACTCTCAGTTGCTATTTCATTTATTGCCAAACCAACTCCTAGGCTTACTCGGTAGGCCACTGATCAATCTCCTGTCTGTCAGGAGTTATGTAGAATAAACTGCAGGGTGCTGATCCCAAAGCCTCCTGTTGAAATTTATCAAACCCAAGGGCTTACCAGGGAAGCTCCTCCTAGCAATCTCCTGCTTTTGGGTCACTGAATCCACGCTGAACTATCTGCAGATGAGTGCCATGACTTTTATACCAACAAAGACACCAGCAATGCGCCTACCTGCACAGAAATGGAGGCAGGAGCAGGGCCTCAAATCACGCTCTACAGCATTTTCTGGGTGCTGCATCCCACCAGCTTGCGTGTGACCTAGGCATCCTGAAGTAACTAACACCCCTGGTCCTGAGCTTGTTATTTTGGAGTCATGCTATCAAGAGCAAAAACCTCTTAAATAGCCATTTTGATGCCAAAATAATCATGCAGCGAGCTTAGTACACTAACTCTGGGAAGCACTACTCAGGTATAACATCAATGGCTAGTTAATTCACATCTGTGGCCTGCCTTCACCCTTATGAGCTCACCAGAGAAGTGCTGCACTGGAGCTAAACAAAGGTGGCCCTACAATTCCTGTACACTGCAGCTTCGTCCAAGAATACCTGCCCTCCAAAAATTGTAAGAGCAGACCCTTGGGAAATCCCAGACCCAGTTGTACCGCCCCAAGAGCCTGGGGCTCCCTGGGCTCGATATGAGTGTGTTGCTCAGTTCCAAGCATGCCTTTCTGAGCGTCTCTGCACAGTATGCCCGTATGGCGACAGGAGAGGGAGACCGTACATGCAGATGTCCAGTGCCGTGGCGCCATGAGAGCACTGGGAAGTCTCCCCATCCCTTCCGATGCCAGGATGTATAGAAAACAAATGCCTCTAAGGAAAAGCCAAAAAAAACAAACACAAGACTACGGACCTATGAAATATATAAATATTTTCAAACAGCCAATGAGCAGAGGAGTAATGGAAGGACTGGAGAGGGAGCACTGACAACTGATGTGAGGGAGCACCATGGGAAGCAGAGTAAGTGGTTAGCAAAATTACACCATGAACACACATAAACAGCCCCCTTCCCCCATGCCTTGGCAATGGAAACTTGATGGCAAACTCCATTTGGGACAGTTAAAGAATGTGCTCAGCAAGACAGATGAGGGAAAACTGGTCTAGCTTAAGGTCTGTTGGCTTTTAAAGCTCAAGGATGTTTTGCAAACCAGTCCTTATAAAGACACAGTATTCCTTTAATCCATATATACTAATTAAAAGGTCACGTAAGGAAGGAGATTTTCTTCCCTTACCCCACCCCTTCCAAGCATCTTTCAGGAGGAATGGGTAAACTGAAGCCACCAAACAAAACCAGAAACTTTTGAGTGTGACCTTGCTGCTCCCACAGCTGCTGCCAACGTCCCTCCCAGTCACTGCACCTCTCCCTAGCACAGCTGGGACCAGCCAAAGGGATACTGTACCTTTAGTAACTTGCCACAGGCCCACAAAAGCTGTTTATCAGGTTGCTATCGAGAAGGCTGGTTTGGGGAAACAGCAATGAAAAGGGTGGGGACGGGGCTGGGACCTTGTGGTCATTCGCTGACTACTTCTGCTACGAAAACCCAGCTGTGGTCAAGGAGAACGGGGAGCGTGTGAGGTTACGTTACCTTCATGGGCACAGCAAGGGCAGAAGGAGAGAGGTCTACGACGTGGTGTCCCGGCATTGGGCTCAACTTCAATAGGACCAAACGAGGAAGAGGAAGAGGCAGGAGAGGAAGAGGAAGTTGGAAGTGGAACGGAAGAGGAGGAAAGGGGTGAAATAAAAGACAAGCAAAGGACAAAAAGCGTAAGAGTGAGAAAGAAAGGAAACACAAGAAGAAAAGAAAAGAAAAAATACAAGAAATGGAGAAGCAGAAACAAGGGATACAGTCTACAGATGAATAATGTCCCTAGTAAGCACAGATAACAGATAAGAGGTAGGCTGAGATACTGGTGAACTCTTCCTCCTTCAGGCAGGAGGCTATTGTTGACTTCTTCCTAACATACATTTTCAATCACACCGTTTTTAACCAAATATTTTGTGAACACGATGTCAGGATGAGCAGAGATGAACATTTAACTCCTGCTGATAAATGGCAAATTTCAAGCAGGGTTACAAAAAGTCTCACCTGCATGCATACGACACCAGCTGTAAGCAGCCACTCTACCGTAAATCTTTCTCAGGACCATGCTCTTACCACCATGGCAGCATCCACTGATGGTAAAAGTGTCCTTTTTAATGGAAAATAATTCCTTCAGACAGGGAATGTTGTAGGGAGAATCTGATTAACGTGCAACCTGTCTGCTAGGATCTGCTGTGTCAGGCATGGTAAATACACGTCTCAGTTGGACTGCAGTGCTCACAAGGGGAATCAGCTTTTACATGGGTAAAAAAAATATTAACATCAGCGTCTGTGTGCGGAACAATCAACTGAGGACTTTGTGTGGTTAAAACAGTAAATTTAAAGCTGTCCTTCGACATTCTCATTTCGAAAGCTTACAAATTCTGTTAGTATCAGTGACTTACTGAATCTTTTTCATCATCTCTGTCACCCAGCGAAGGATAAATATTTCTCATCTCTACAGTGGTTCAGCTGTTTTAACACTGAGAATTTGCTTTTCAGCTGTATTTCATGTTGCAGAAAGAAATGGTAGAAAATAACCAATATCACTAATAGTTACAGGAGAACATATGCACCAAGAAGCCAAAGAGTCTGAAATGTCAAAGCTATCAGAATGAAGCACTGCTCTCAATGCACAACCGCATTTGAATAGGGTTTGCATTGAAGAGAAGGCATTTGTGTGTTGGGAATAGCATGAACTCCACAACAATATTACAGCAAGAATAACTCATAATTTGGAGAAGTCAGCAGAGCTTGACATATATATATGGTTTGGAAACATCTTTACAAAACTCCAGACTACCGGCAAACTGGGAAGGCTTTAGAAGGGACCATCACAGAACCAGACCAGCACACGGAGGACACACTGGAGTGAGAGGGAGAGCACGTAGGCTTCAAAGCCTGTGACCGAGCAGCGTGGCTTTCTCAGGCAGGCAGAAGCCTCTGTACTGGGGGCAGGAAGGGGCAACATCAGGAAGGGTTCCACAGTCGGCATGTGACAGTTACAAATAAAGCATTGTACCAGCGCTAGCTGACAGTACCAGAGCCTTAATTGTAGTTGTTCAGAATTTTCTGACTTCTTCATTTAAAATGGAAACTGCTAAAGCTGTTTCTCCTATGATTGCCGTTTCACAGATCTAGGTTACAAGAGCACAAACAAGCCCCAAACCCACCAAACCACACAGGCTACCCACCATGAAGAACAAGCTTCCATACATAGCAGAGCATTTAGTGCACAATACCCATTACATTTTTTATTTCACATCCTATCTTATTCAACATCAGTATTTTCCCATATAAGCTTTTATACTCTTAATTAATGGCCTACCAGTTCCTTTTTGGGGAGATTAGGAGATGGATGTTTAACTGTATGAAGAATTCACTTCAGTTTTTCAGGGTCTGAGATTTCATTCAGAATTTGGGGGGAGTGAGGGATGTTGCTGACTGAAACGCAGTTAGATTTCTAAATTGCAAACGACAGGCTTAGAGACTTGGTGAAAAATTCTCAATTTGCCATATTTGATCTGAAAATAAATACCTGGTATAGGAACACACCACATTGTGACAAGGCCACAAACTACCACCTTTTGTCATCAACAAGCAAAATGCCACATCCTAGGAAAAGATAACACCTTTGGTCTCTGGTAAAAAGCCACAAGACTTACATAGCAGAAGACTAATACAGACCCCCCACACGCTCCCTATAATTGTGTTTTTCGTCATTTGTTCTTAGATATTCTCTTTTTAACAGAAATATAATCCTCCCCACTCTTGTCTAAGGAAATGTGTCCTTGCATCAAGTTACAAAGTCCATATTATCTATAATAATCTTGCTACTGGAAATGTTCACGTGCTCTTCAGTTAAGATACTGAACATAACCTGCACTATTAAAACACTTTCCAGTTAATCCAGGTATAAATTATAGTTGCATCAGTGAATACAGGTTACAAGATCATTACAGTTGCTTTCAAAACAACTTCTGTCCATCCCAGGATGATTAGCAAGCCTTTAAAGTGATCCTTATTTACTGATCCTGATTTACTAAATAATGAGGACAGGGTGAAGTGCAACCTGAAAACTTACCTGTTATAGTTCTCTAAAGCTGCATAATTGGTGAAAACTGTACCAATTATGCTCTGAAAGATGCTATAATCCG